ATACAGGCAGTTAACACCCCCCCCCGCACCCACAGGATATTTAAATATTTTAAAATAAAACTAAATCCAGATGTGTTTACAGCCACAGCCACCATGTATTCTCTCCAATAATCTGGCAGTATCTGTCTTCTGTGTTTATGCTTTCTGGTGTAAATTCACTTGTGGAGAACCATTTGAGGTGCCTGGTTGTGTGCCTAGTCCTATTTCAGATGTACCAGGGTACCTGACATCCTCATCAGACTGGCAGAAGGGACCTTTCAGCTGCAGACCCTTCTGGAGCAGTGACTGAAGCCATCCAGACCAGATACTCCCACCCAGGATCTAACATACTGGTACACACCTATGCTCAAGCATGGGAGCCACTGCCCATCCAGTGCAAAGTGCATAAAATAATGTATTTGCAGTCTGTGGCTGATGCTAACAGCTTTCATAGTTAGAAACCCGAGGCTGAGGAAAAGAATAGACACAGATCTGACAGGAGTTGCTGTCTCCAAGGCACATTTTGGGTTCATGTTAACATCCTATTGATATGCTTTCTCTAATTTGGTCTATATAGACTGATAGCAAATATGTGACAAAAATGTATTCTTTTCCTGGTGTTCTTTGGTGTGAACAAGCCCAACAGAAAACACCAAGGAGGAAAGGGCAAGTTGTAGCAGAATAAGAAAGGGGATATAGCAAACTTAACAATGAAGACTTTTTCCTGGTTATGATAATTGCTGCTTCTTTTTTAAATTAGCTATTTAGTTTCATTTTACTTATATATGCTGGGTACATATGGGTTATGTAAAATAGAGTATATAGAGTAGTTCCAGAGCAATCAGCTGTCCAGGACCAGGCAGCCATTCCTGTAGAGCTACAGCCATATTAAGCATCAGGCCCAGCCATTTGCTGTCATCATCAGTGTCAGTATCCTAGGAGATGTCCTGATCTTGCATAATTACATCCTGATAAATGAGTACTTTGTGCTCATAGCAAAAACACTTTCAAAATTAATGTAATTGAGAGAGAGCTACTGTTGATGTACCTGTCTCCAAAGCATTTGGAATATCATGCAAAACCTTTTTATTTAGGATCTTTTTTTAACACCCACCTGTATTTTAAAGTAATCACATTCATAGACCAAATTATATCGTCCTTAGAGAATCAAATTTCAGAGCTGCCCTCAGGAACCTAAGGATTAAAAATTAATCCTTGTTATCCCAGTAAATTAATAGGTAAGGTTCATTCTAAGTAAACAAGAGTGATAGAAAAACACCCAGTTACCCACAGTGTAATGCAATTCCAAAGCAGCAAGTCAATTTGCCCCACACACTATTCCAAACTCATGGGGCCAGCTCAGAGCTGGCACTGTGTAAATACATTAACTGCAGATAAACCAAATTATGGAATTCCTGTGTTAATAATACTGGTTATGTGGTTAAGAGTAACAACATTTAAAATACCAATGCATGTTTTCAACTGTAAACCTATTTGATGCAGCCTTTATGAGGAACCAAATGAGACTGAGAGATAAAAATAAAAATCACATGAATGTAAAATTAATAAAAGGAAAATTAAGTAGATGTAAGTGCACAGGTAATTATTGTTGAAAAGGTTCTTCATTCCAAACCTTTGTGTTTTTTCCCAAGTATCCATATCAGGTTCACATTTTGTGCTTGTGAAAAGAGAGTGGTTGCATATGTGATGGGAAGGTGTGTAGGACACCAAAATTCAGCAATGCCAGTGTGTGGAAAAGAGAGTCCAGCATGAGCTTTTGTCCTCCTTCCCCTGCCAGAACAGCCACTTTTGCTCTGGGATACAGTCTTTACAGCCTTCATAGCATCCAAAGAGTGTCCTCTCTGCATGCTAGGGCAGAAGTAGTTCAATTTTAAGACAGAAATATGATCAAAAAAGTATATGCTAAAAAATATTCAAACCCACTTTGTGCTTTTTTAAATCTGATTCCCGTTGGAATCAGGTGAGACTGGGCATTTTAGATGCTAAAATGTTTAAGTAACTTTCAGAAACCTGCTGCCAAAATGGCTAGAGCTAGAAAGTTGAAAATTGGCATGTTATGACATTCGCTTTAGCAGAGGTGCCCACGCTCTTCCCACAGCAAAATGACTTTAATTTGCCCAACCTCAGAGTCCTTGAAAATGACACTCTGAGCATTTGCTGTAATGATTTCTCACTAAATTAGAAAAATGCCCAACTAAGGAGGGATTATCTCTGCATGTGGATGTGGCATAATGACTGTCAAGTGCACTGAGAGCCCCACTGGGCTTTGCAAGGTACACAGGGTCTGCAGCAGAGGCCAGCGTGCATCGGGGAATATTAATACTGTCTTGTTGGGGCCATCCATTGTGACACTCCACTGCTGTTCAGACAAAATTATACCATATGAGGGAATTCTCTTTGCTACTTTACATATACGAGGTACATTTTAGAGCTGAGAATTGTTCCAAATTGTCTGGCTGACAAACTCAGTCCATAAAGGATGCAGTCGCATGTGTGCCTACACTCTCTGTAATGTGTGGACTGGCTGGGGCAGCATCACTAAAAAATTCTTCCTTGCAGCCCACATCTGCTGTGCCTGCAGTGAGGATGTGATAGTGAGCTTGATTCTGCACACCCATAAAGTTTTCCAGCTGCTCCCACCAGCTCTGGATCCTAAGGATAAAATGTGCTACAAACAGTACTACAAGGTACTGTTTGTCTGCCAGGCAGGCTGGTGCCCAGGTTTCAGAGTGAGCAAGGAGCAAGCTGTGCGGGCAGTGCCACTGCCTCATCATCCCTGCCTCAGAGGTGAGAAACTCTCCCTGTCTGCCTCAAAACAGGGGTGTGAGGAGGCACATTGTGTACATCAGAGCTTGTGCCATGGAGGAGCAGAGACATGGTGGGAATGTGCTGGCAGACAGGGATGGTGAGAGCTTCAGCAGTGCTACCACAGCACCACTCCAGCAGCAACAGTCACACACTCAGTGCTGGTGTTCCTTGCATGTCCCTGCCAGCCAACTGGCTCAATCCCCCGCTGCTGAGCAGGCACGAGGGGCACACACACACGCCTCTACGGGTGCCACTGACTCCAGTGCCAGTGCTCTGGAAGAGGATGCCAGAGGATGCCACCCCTTGCTAAACCTACACTAGGCTGTTTCTGCCTCTATTTTGCAATGACTTTTCAAAACAAGCCTGGTAAACATGAGCAGGATGGGAGGTGAGTGCTGGAAAATCTACAGGGTCCTGCTGTGCAAATTAAGGTCCTCTGAGGGGTATTTTCTGTTGAAACTGATCCACTGGGGAAGAACAGGCAGGCAGGGAACATTATGGGGCCAAGCACCAGGTAAGACTGACTGACTCTTGTATCAAAGCCAGATTTTAGTCTCAAACTTGCCAAATTCACCCCCAACAGTCAAGGGAAAAGGAGCCAGGAAGATGCTGCCCATGGGTTGTTGTAACTACAAGCTTGCCCTGCTATCCCATCTCAGCTGGGTAATGTGGGAAGCCAGCAGAGGAGGAAGCCAAGACGGAGAGGTAAGAGGTCTAAGGGTCCCAGGAGTAAGTAGATGAAGGAAGGCCATCAAGGAGCCTGAACATTTTGTCCATTTGCCTCAATCTTGATAATGCAGATACCCAGTGTCACCAAATCCTTGCAGCTTCCAGACAGGGGAACACAAATCAGCCCCGACCAGCAGGGTGAGTACTGCTTTGTGCCTGTCCTGTACCGTCATGTCTAATGGTTCCCTTGCACTTCCCATTTTCCTGAGTGTCCTGAGAGGTCCACAGTATGCCATGGGCTGCAGGGTCACACTTTCCACTCATCTGTGGGGTGGGGCTGCAGGAACCATAGATCTCCCAGACCCACAGCTCCACAAGGTGTCTTGGGAAGGCTGGAGGGTGACATGTTTGTTTTATGGACAGGACTTGATGTTGTCCCAGCAGTGGGACTTTTACCTGCTCTGTCTTTACCCTGATGCCCAGGGATCTCAAGCCCAAAGCTTCCCACACCAACTTCAGCCTGTGTGTGGAGTGGCATTGACCTTCTCCACAGGGATTTCCCATGAGGGACTACATCCCCCTGCCTCTTCCTGGCGCACATTTTGTACATGCTCTGGGATAAAAACTGGGTCTCATCCCGGTGCGGGCAGGAACCTACGGTAGCCTAGGGACCCAAGCACATTTCCCGGATCGCAGGGCATGAATCCCGCAGCGCCAGGCGGTGCGGCTCTGCAGCCTCGCGGGGAGAGTTGAGGCATCGGCTGCGGGTGCAGGGACGGCGGCTGCACCCACTGAAGAGGGTCCCCGTGAGCCCGAATGGAGGGGGAGTCCCGGCCCAAGGAGCTTTTCCCTGCACGGCCGGAGCGGCGGCCGGAGCGCCGGGCTCTGGGGGTCCCGCACCCGAGGAGGTTGGTGCCAGTCCGGCTTGTGGCACCCCCGGGGCACCTCTCGGCTGCTTCCGACGGGGCTCCCCGCTAGGCAGGGGGACGAGTCACGGCGCAACGGGAATCAGCGGCAGAGCGCTCCGGGAGCGGGGCTGGGGGGACCCGGCAGCCGTGACGGAGGGAGCCCCAGCAGGGCCGGTCCCGTCCGGCCCCAGCCCCGGAGGGTTAGCGGGAGGCTGGGACAGCCCTTCCTATCCGGCTGCCGCGGACACCGGGACAGAGGAGCCGAGTCGCGGCGGCAGCCAGGCGTTCATGCGGCCCTACAGCCGCGGGCAGGCGGGAGGCTGGGATGGCAATGGAAGGTGCTTGGCCCAGCCTCTCCCCGGCCCGGTCTTTAGCATGGCGGGGGAGGACCGAGAGAGCCCCTGGGGTTCTCTCAGAAGGCGAGGGTCCCAAGCACCCCGTACCTTCAGCTCGACACGGAGAGAGGAGGGCTCCCCGTCATCTGCGCTCGCCGGAGCGGGCGGGTCCCGGCGCCGAGCCGCGGCGGAGAGGGTTGGAGAGCGATGCTGCTCCCAGCGCACGCCCGCGGACGCCGAGCGGCTGCTTTCTACGCGGAGAGAAGGAAATAAACCACCAACGAGCTTTTATTGTTATCACAATCATTATTATCATCGCCATCATCGTTTCTCTGCACATAAATAAATAAATAAATATCTCCCGCGGGGAGGGAGTGGGACGGAACGGTACAACCACAGTTGTGCGCCCGGCAGCGACGAAGTCAAAACAAAACCATTTTGTAAAGGAAACAAAAACAAAAAAAAAAAAAAAAGGAAAAAAAGGGAAAAACAAAAGGGGGAGAAACATAGTAACCCAAACAGCCTTCAACCCTCCCCGTCCGTCCTCCCGCTTTTGGGCACCGCCGAGTTACCGGAGGGAGCCCGGGACAGCATCCCTCCAGGCGGGCGCACCGCCCGTGCCGCGCAGTATCCGCGCACTCCGCGCCCGTCTCGGAGCGCGGGGAGGTCTGCGAGGAGCGTCCCGGGCCCAGGGCTGCGCCTGCGGGGAGACAAGTGAGAGAGCACTATGGGGAGACGCCTGGGGTCCTAGGGAGGAGTTTATTTACACCAGGGTGCCGGGACACCCGTCCCCGTGGGCCGGGGGTCTAGAAAGGCGAGAAAGTCCTTCGTAAATTACACAAATCATACAAAACAGTATAAAATCCTTCGGCTGCATGTCAGCACCGGGGCAGGCAGGACTCCCTCCCCTGCTTTCGCCACAGTTCCTGCGGAGCCGGGGTGGGTGTGCGGGTGGTTAGGGGGTGACTGCGAGACCTCTGTCGTCCTTCCCCGAGGAGGATGGAGACATGCGCAAGTCCTCGTCGTCCTCCGAGCACTTAGTGGTGGAAAGGGACGAACATTTGCAGCTGTGGCCGCCCCCCCCGCCCCGGTGGGAGCTACTTTTGCCTTCTTTCTTGTGCTTGACCCGTCGGTTCTGGAACCAGATCTTCACCTGCTTCTCGGAGAGGTTCAGGTAGGTGGCGATCTCGATTCGCCGCAGTCGGGAGAGGTACATGTTGGAGGCGAACTCCCTCTCCAGCTCCAGGAGCTGCGTGCTGGTGAATGCGGTGCGCATCCGCTTGCTGCTGGGCAGCTGGCTGGACGTGCTGTCTGGGAATGGAGAGGAGCGCACCGTCAGACCGGCCGGACC